GGGGGGGGGGGGGGGGGGGGGGGGGGAAGAATACAGGTAGCCGTCTTCGTGGGCCCATAAACGATGATCTCTAAGCAGGACTTGTATGCTTGCGCGCTACCGTTTACACTTTTAAGTAATAAGTCATTGGTCAACCGAATGCCTCATTCTTCCCTCATCCGGACTTTTTGTATGCCGTTTTGATCTCACGACACCGGTGACTCCTCACCTCCTAAGGCTAAAATCGAGGGAATACATTTCCAAGCTCCACTGCGAAACGTTCACGGAACAGCTAGCCTTCCCTCTCTGCGCGCTGTCTAGGGTTAGAGACCTGGGTGAGGCTCCACCCCTACAACATATTCATCGAAATTTGGAATTATCCAGTTCTTAAAAGTAGAGTATCGCTCCTATACTCGTCACGGTTGGACTTCACCGACTTGCCTCTTGGTTAACGCGCTCCGTGGTGGCGATCGTTACTGCGTCGCGGCTGTGGAGCACATCGTAGGCGCATCACATGTTTCTCCCATATGTTTCGCCCACAACTTCGGTATGGTGAACACTGAATCGTACTGTGAGCGAATGTGCTCTCTAATGAGACGAAGCGGAAGGTAAGTGTAATACTGTTTAACAACCAGTTTACGTATTACGTTTCTTTTTGTCAGTTTTCAAGAGTATTCTTGGAAAACGCAACAATGAACAATCGGTTCAGGGGGTTCGTTCACTTGAGTTTAACCTGTTATTCTAATGCTTTCATATTTGTAAGTAAGGTTAATGATTGTTGATTGCTGCTTGGAAGCATTCCACCGTTTCTCGAATCTCAGGTTTTTCTTTGAGCGGCGTTTTGCTGAACCTTTCATGACTCATGTACCTGATTTGTAAACTGGTTAGCACGGTGCAGTATGTGGATCCTTGCTGCCGAGTCTTCTCTAGTTGTTTAATAGTAACAAGTAAATCGTCATGGCGTCTTCTTTGACGTCACCCTTCTGGATACTGTTTTTGAAGACCGTGAGAATCCCTTTGCATTGTATGAGCGGTTGTTCTAGGTCCATGTGTCCCCTTCTGCAGCCGGGAATGGGGACGGGTTTTTGTTCATTTGTGACTTCATGTACACGTAGTTGTCAAAAAACCCGAAGCCACTATCTCAGTCGTGAGTTCAATTAAGTAGCCATCCATTCCGTTCGCATCCAGGTCTCGGGATTGTTGAATACCATCGATAGGTAGAGTATTTGTTTTTGAAAAAATCACGCCGTTCCCCTTCTCCTTATCATCCCCTTTTCTGCGGCCATTTATACACTTTCGTACGGGTACGCCTGTGCCACTATCAAGTGAGACGCACCCAAAGGTCATATACGGTGAGAGGGAAGATCTCCCTGTCATGCATATCGCCTTCCCTGGGAAGCTCCAAAAAGTGAATGGATATGCTGAGTGAGAAGACGGAAGGTACCAAGGCTCAATGTTAGTATCGACGTCTCCGTTTCTCTATGTGTACGTACCTTCGTTTTGCCTAGTTTTTTGGACTTTTGAGTTATCCTGTCACAATAGCTTTTACCTCCTTGGGGTCTCCAAAGTCTAGGTGTCCTCTCTACCACCCTTTGTTTATTTCACTGTCAATTTACTTTACTTTTGTTTACTCAATTTCAGTTCTAGTTCACGCAGTACCACATAAAAGTTTCTGTTTCTCCCACTACAATCTAGAATTTTTGTTGAAATAAATGATTTTGTGTGAATGCCTCCAATTTTCATGGCTAAGAATGACTGGTGGTTTTTCAGGGCCCAGTTGATTGTCTGGGACCGTTCTGGTCGTCATCCTGTCGATCCAGTAATTGATACAGCAGCGGAAATGTTTAGGGGTTTGGAAATTGACAACAAATACAGTATGAAAAAGGTTTTGTTGGTGCAATGACATGTCTCGTCTTCTCGTTTCCCTCTGCTAAATCTTATTTGCTCTCAATTGACATGTTTTCTATGACAGAGCACTAGTCAACGCAAGCCTGTCTTGTATATATGGGCAAGCAGAGGAAAATGTGCTCCTTATGCCGTGCCGAGGTAATTATTGCTTTTCTTTCTACATTTTTATTCAATTAGTTTCCCTTTTGAAGTCATACTATAGGCTTTTTGGGTGCTTCGTAAGTGAAGTAACTGGGTATTAGCTGAATTCCAAGCGAAAGTGGACGAGTTGTTATGGTTCCGGAAATCTCTTCTGGTATTGAAATGGATCGTATCGCCCGCGAGGATCTCCGATAAGGGAGACTTTTTCTATTGATGGAGATCTTCCTTATCTCTATCGGTAGTAATGTGTCCAGTTTTACCAAATAGTCAATTTTTGATTAGATATGTATGGGTATCCATCTACATTTACAGAAATCTATTTGGGTCTTTCCTGTAGTTCCATAACATCTCAAATATGGCTACTCTCTCATTAAGACGGTCCCTTGGACAGTATTTCTACATTCCAACTTTTCGGTTGAGGTCAACATTCGATCGGAATGGTACTCCTTCCTTACTTAGGGTGAGGTCAAAACACCATTCCACCGGTTAAAATCTTTTCACGTACCACTGTGGGTCCCCAGAGCCGGCCTGATCCTTCTCTGTGCTCCAGTCGTTACGTTAGAGACGTGGTGTACAGGGGAGTGGCTGCTTCCAACTACATGTTTATCCAAATGCTCGTTCTTACAGAAGGATTCGTCCATCTAAAAACGTTGAAGATCCTTACTCGATAATGCAACAAGTACGATTGCGAGGGATCGTTGATGCTGCAAGCCTGAGATTGTCCTTGATGAGGTGAGCGTTTGATTGACTTTGCTTTTTGCTAGTTTCGTTAAAGTTGGCATTAGAATTTTATCATACACATCGTAGTTTTGTTAAGCCCCCACGAAAGCGAAAATTATTGGTATCAGGGCCATGTGGTCCCATACACCTCTAGTAAGCACAGATGCGTGACCTTTCGTGATGTTTGAGAAAGCAGACTGCTATGCGATGCCAACGTGAGCAAACTTCTTTTGTGTAGATATCTAGCGCAGCTGGGGCCTTTCGCCATAAATATAGCTAGCCGATTGTGCATGAACTAGAGAGAGGAGAGAGGAATTCACGTTTTTATTGGCGTGTGTAGTCTAGGCGCCACTATTTACTAACCCATGAACTTCTTTGGCCCTTCGATAAATGATTTATTTCAGTGAAACCCTGGATTACTAGTAATCACAAGCGACATTTTTCAGATCTGCTAACGCCGGCGATGTTCCACATCGAAGAAGAAATATAGTGTTTGCGAGAAGTTACTGTCCAGAACTCAGTTTTTATTAAGAAGCGCATATTCCGCTAGCTTTTCGACTGTACATGTGTACATATTCAGAGCAATAAAGATTTTCTATCTTCTTGAATGTCTCAATTACCTGGGCTTTCCTCTTTTCAAAGTGCTCACTCCACTCCTTGATATGACTTCTTTTCTATTGTCAAAATTCTATCTTCGTACTTTTTTTGCCTTAACCTTATCTTACTGGAATCCAGTATTAGAGACAAAAACAGATATAGAAGCTTAGTAAATTTCTGAAATCAACGCGAATGATTAGTTTTGAAGGCAGTAAAATTAAGGCAGAGATAGGTTCCTGAATTTCTGTTCCTCCCTTTTGGTGTTGAAGCATTTCACCAATATTTTCTCTACGGATAACGGTAAGCATCTGTAAAAAAGCTAGGAAGAATGGTGATACGAAGTAAATGCGGAATTGGATTCGAAGTTTGGACTAAAACTAAAAGTAGACTATGGAAAGAGTAATGTTCTAACCAGGGGGAGCAGCTGTCTTTTGGATTTTAGGGTTCTCAGTCGTCATGCTATTAGGTAGGTTTGCATAGGTTCATCTGTCTGAATCGCTGGAAACTGGAGGTATACCCACGAAAAAGTCAAATGAAACAAGCGACTTCCTATTTTCTTCCACTTCGGCAACCTGACATAGCTGGAAACGGTGCTAACTTGGAAACCTGGTAATCCATGTTCTTGGGAGCAAAGATAAAGGAAATACTCAACACGGACCGTAAAATTTCAACAGTACAACGTAACAGATTCCACTTATGCAGGGACCGGAGCTTAGAAACTAGAAGGTTGGACTAACGATACTAATTTCAAGTGGTTCAGTTCTGGAATCAGAGAACAAACAAAACAAATCAGGGAAGTTGTTTTGATCTTCATTCATTCCCGCCTGTATACGGTATGGGGTTTTGATCTTCTGCCGATGGCTGCTGCCGACCCCTCGTTACAGCCGGTACCACACATTAGCCACCTTCTTCAGTCTTTTCACTGTCTGCACAACTAGTTTTCTTTTTACCAGTTCATCGATTTTTGATACGATCGACTTTTTAAAATCTGCTGACGTCATATTGATCAATTAATCTGTTTCTTCACAAGTGTAGCGAGAGTAAAACCAACAAATGACTTCTTTGCTCTGTAGTGCCTTCATGAAGTTATGGAACCCCCCCCCCCCCCCCCCCCCTCCCCATGTTGATTTCAGTCCTACATTTTGTTTATGCAAATACTTCATTCGATCTATTCTTTCCCAACATGAGCCACTAATTTGTTCGCAGAAAACTGGTTCTAGACGTTCTTCCAAGATCGTTTTCTGATTTGTCAGTCTGGAAAGGAGTTGTTGCATGGGCAAGGAAAGAAAGAGATTTTTCCCGAATCAAAATTTGATTGATTGATTTGATGTGCTACTGGTCGTAAGAATTTTTCACTATAGGTTACGGGTTGATTTCAAATTAAATTTCCGCCGATTGGATGGAGAAGTAGTGCCCATCAGCGGGGGAAGGGGGTTCCTTCGAAGACCTTAGTGTGAATGGGATTGTTTTAGACTATTCAGCGATGCTTCTAAGTCATAAAAGTAAATAGATACAGTGATCAATCCCATTTTAGGATGCGCATCGCATTCGACGTCCATTCAAAATCCAGTGGCATTTTGAGGGCCCATAGATTCTGAATCGGTCGGCCTAAACAAGACCTGCGGTGGTCAACCGATGCACCAATCAAAGGTTTTATCTTCCCAGACGAATCTGGTACCACCCGAATTCTGGAGGAACGGGAAGCCTGGTTCACCCGCGCAGGTAATAATCTAAAAATCGATCGCTTTCCATAGGAATTACCAGAATATGAGTAAACGACCGATTCGTACCGTTTTTCAGATACAGTCCTCTATTTTCATTCCTTAATTTGAAGAATAACAGCTTTTTCTAACCATTAAGGGTAAAAAATGTCTTCACGCTTTTTTTTTCTCCTCATTAGCAATCGTTAGCACAATTCCGGCAACGGGCTTCCTCAAGTTTATAGCCTCCACCTGGTCGGTCTGTTAGATATCGGTTGAAGATATGGTCAGCTGACTATCATTCGACGGTCCCCTACTAGGGCCAACATCTGTGGTTCATGTAATGGGTGTGCTACGACTCTATCGCCAAATAAAGGGATCGCGCAGCGCTCGTAGCCCGAACGTCGATTTCTTTCAAATCCGAAGGGTTCTACCACATTCGGCTCAATTTGGGCTTTCCATATCATGTAGGAGCGAGAAAAATTAATTTATTCTTTCATTGCACAGGAATATAAGGTCCTAAAGGATGATCCATAATTAAACCAGATGGGTCCTAGATCACATGGCTCAATTTGGGCATTCCATGTCATGTAAACGAGAGAAAAACGAGCGTAATCATTCATTTCACAGGAATAGTTTTTAGCATATAAAAATGAGCGATATTATGTATGTGACGCAGTGAATTATTGACGTCATAAGGGCAAGTTTTCGTCGAAGACTCACTGCTTTCGTTCCGAAGCAAAGGGATCTTCCGGATGACCAGCCATGCTGTAATGAGAGCAATTTTTGAATCTATGGATTCAAAATGCTGTTTAGATTAGGAAAGAGCTAGAAAAGTGAAAATTGCTCGGTGCTATCGTTTTCTCTTTCTGATCTGTTGGACCTTGTCCCTGTCACCAAGTTATGCAGCCTTTGGTGAAGTTTTAGCTGAGTTCCTTAGAAACGTCGTCCTTCCCCCTCTTGTTTGGGTTACCTTTTGAACTTAGTTTTCAATCTATTCAGTCAGTCGATTTCTCGCTTATTCCTGCGTTTGTGGCTTGAAAAACTGTAGTTGAATATAGCCAACTATTGAAGAGTGGCATCGGGCGTACATCAAGTAAACAAATAAACAAGACAAGTAGAGTGCTCACAAATCAATAATGAAAAGCCTTCGATGCTGTTTTACTGATTCATCTAATAACCGCATATCTTCGTCTGTCAGGGTAAAATCGAACACCTGTAAGGTACCCAGTGATACGATTGAGTATAGGGAAGTTAAAATCGTCAATAAAAGAAAATACCTGGAAATTTTCGATGATACGAGTTGGATTAACGGATTTTGGTATGACAGCAATGTTTCGATTCATTACATAACGTAAAAGAATCTGAATTAGATATATTTCCGGAAAATTAGCGAAGTATGAACCCCGATAGGACTGAACCGTATGTGGGAGTTGCTCACTTGTGCTGGAGTTTTTGAATACTTGTTAGCAAGAGCTTTGACGTTCGCATTATCCAAGTCTCTTGGAGCTTCTGGCCAAACAACTTTTCTGCAATGCGCCCCAATCAATAGTAAAATGCAATTTCAACTCTGTCATGGGGAATGAAGCCGTAAAAAACTGGGACAGGGTTCTAGAAGGGATCATACGGGGGGATTAGGTACTTCGTATTACGTGGGGTTAAGCACCCCGGATGCAGTGGATTAAAAAGCTTTTCCAATCTCCAATTTTCCACTTTTATAAAATCAGTTGCAGATATCACGGTGACATAGTTTTTCTTCCAAAAAAGCTCTGACTAATTTTATTAGTCAAAAAAAAAATCAGAAAAGTAGGAAGAAAACATTTTGAGTCAGGATCTCTGCTGGAACTTCAAGGCAATTTTTCTGAACCCAAATATTGTGTTGTTTCAATCGAGGGGAGAGACTTGGTTCGCTAACAATGGCTCTTAGTTAGTTGTCCTGGCAAGCGACTCGCC